AGCTTCGATCATTTCTTCAGCTCCATCAATCAGGCTTGCCTGAAGCACCTTGGTGATGAGGATGGTCAATGCTACTTCGGCCTCCTTGCCACCCAGCTAGCCCAACGAATGCTGAAAGGACCAGTTAAGACTCAAATGAAGGAACCGGCAAAAGATTTGCCATACTTCATGAAGTTCCTGCAAGAGATGAAGAAGGCCATGGCTGATGACGACAATATATTCGCTGCTGATGTGGATCATAGCAGGTGATTACCAGACCATTATGGACGTTGCCTCCATCCCCTCCTCTGTTCAGGCAAGCGGTGAGTTTTTGGGCAAGTCTGACCATTGGTTAGCACAGGCACTCAAGCTTGACAAGGGGAAGAAATCTGTGCAATTGCCTCTAGAGAATGCTATACACTGGCGAACAGCAGAACAGCATCTTGGAAAAGATCTCCCAAGCGCAATTTGATTTGGAAGAGTGGAAGATTCAACCGAATCTTTCGAGGATTCACAGGAACAAAGAGTCTATTCCGCTCTGGTTGCAATAGTGGATGGCAAAGTCAAGGAGGAGACTCCCAACGCAGAGCCAACTCAGAGCAAGGACATGGATGGCAAGGGCGAGACTGAGACAAACAGCGACAAGGACGCTCCTGCGCAAGAGGACAGCGCTGACATGGATGTGGAGGCTGACATGGATGGCATTGAACCTCCTGCAAAGGATTCATCCTTCCTCCACTCCCATGCGAAGGCTCAGTTTGTGTCTGCTGTTCTTGCGTACTAAGTACTGAGACTTGACTGGACTAAGACTGAGACTCAGACTCAAGACTATGGACATGACAAGGCTACAGTCTGTATAAAAAAAAAGAACCGTACTGTATACCGATACCGTTAAACTTAAACCGTTATACTATATACCGTATACTGTATACCCCTATATCGTACTCACCAACAATGGACTGTGAGGCGCAGCTGGGCGATTGGAAAGGACTCCGCGTCAATGGTGGTGGAAGCTCTACCCAAAACGATCTTGGCCATGACAGCCTGCACTGGGAGTGGTATGCTGGAAATTGTACTCGAGGTAGTAGTCAAAGAATTGAACCAACAGTTCGGCTGCGGGCTTGAGGTCAGGGTTGGGAACACATTTAGGGTCTTTTGAATTGTGTTGAGTTGAGTCAAGTTTCTCTGTTTGTTTTGTCTCGCTGTCTTCTCAGTCGTCTACTTCTCTTGTGATGAAAGGTGGAACGATCTTTCATGTGCGAGATTGTTCAGAACAAGCAGAAGTTTGTCATGAAGCACGTGATCCCTCCAGAGGAGAAAACCAAACCAATTGGCAATTGGGGTAGCACAGTCCTGCTGTTGGCAGGAACGAGATGTTGCTGGCTTTTTCGACGACATCACCAAGATTGATGACCCTAAAAATCGTTCCTGCCTGACTCATCGAACCAGTTGTGTGGCCCTCTTAGTCGGCTGTGGAGCTTAGAGCACAAGTGGAAACCAGATTGCACAGCCAACAACACCGTGTTTGGCGTGTTTGTCGCAGGTTTTTCCTGTAAGTTCGGCCCTGAGACTGAGTTTGCATTGTCAGTACTCAGTGACTCAGCAAGTAAGCAAACCATCAGTCATTTTGTTCCAAGGTCATTTTCCAAAATGAATTGTGACTTTTCGATGCTCAAAACTGCTATGGAGGATGATACTGACACTTCTTTGGGCTATGAGTCAATGAGCAGTGGAATCGGAACAATTGTGAAATATTGTGAACCATGATCACAAAACTGCAAACGCAAACACAAACTGTGGACACTGAGGAATGTAGCTCCACTGCCACATTCAAAGGAGTTATTTCCATATTGCGGGCAGCACAGCCTCATGCACTGATTCTTGAGAATGTGGACAGCATTCATGCAGCCACATCGGGAGGAGATGACCAAGATTCCGTGTAACTTAACTAGGTGTTTGCGCCTACGCAGTTCAGGTGATTGTGAATGTCTGAATTATCAGTGCAAGGTGAATCATATAATTCCCGCACTTCAATTTCAACTTAGGCAGCACAAATCGAATCTGACCATGGTATTGGAGTATTTGAAAGAGCTGGGCTACAGTTGCTGTGTCAGGAAGCTTAAGTCGTCAGACTATGGGTTTCCACAGCGGCGTAGCAAATACTATATCTTTGGTTTCCAAAGTTCTGTGGATTTGCTCAAAGTGCATCGGCTCTAGCAGAGCTGATTCCATCTCGTTTGCAGACTATGGCAAGCTCAGAATGCAGTCCAGTTGCCGAAGTCCCAGATTTTTTACCAAGTCCATCTAAGTCCGTCTACAAATTGGTTTCGATTGCAATGTTTGCAACGTGCAAGTGCGGGGAAGCTTTTGTTGCTTTGTTCATTTTCTTTCCACGTCAAGCTTCATTCATGAGTCAAGGCCGACTTCCTCCTGACTGACACGCACCCAGCTTTGATCAAAGAACTTCAGAGACGTGCTGCTGTAGCTGAGAAACGTGATACCAAAAACTCCGAGACCATTGCAGGAAGTTCAGCTGCAACAGCTAAATAGGTTGAACAGCATACTCACTTAGCAGGGATGTTGTCAGTGAAGTGGCCCTTGGCTCACCCGCCAGAGTTTGGAACATCCCAGTTCTTTGCCACCTTGACGGAGCGGGAACAGGAGGCGTGGTTTTACATGCTCTGCGACTAAAACTGGACTGACTGTACAGACTGTACTACTAGTATCTATCTATCTATCTATATTTCTTATCTATCTATCTATCTACTACGGCTATCTACCACTACTACTACTACTACTCTCCTGCTGCTGCTGCTGCTGCTGCTGGAACATTGGCATGTTGTTGACTCTGGCCATGTCGAGGTGGCATGCTTCGTCAAGCTATGGAACGATCGTTACAAGTCTGAGGGTAAGCCGACAATAGCCTTTGCGGATCTTTCCCAGTCAGTGAGTCGAGTCCCAACAAGCACGCACCAGTCTGCTGTACACCAATCCATGATTTGAGCTGTTTTGAGGTCTTTGATTTTGGTTTTGCAATTTGTTGTCCGAAAACAGTTCCCGAGCTTCCTGAGCTGCCTGCTCGAATGCCAAGGTAGTTCCGACCATCTTACCACACGCTAAGCTCTGGAGTACGGAACTATTGCGCCCCTTATTGGGTTGGTGACTCAATTGATTCTGAATCGTGAATTCAATCTGCGCAATCAATCAATCAAGTGTCTATCAATCAAGTGTTGGTAGAAGCTTAGGTGTGGAGATGCTTGGGCTGCAGGGCCTTTTCTTGTCAGATTTGCCATATTTTGGTGATTCAGTGGAGCATACAGATGCTCAAGTGGCAGACCTTGCCGGAAACTCGTCGGGTTCTCAGTGTACAGTGTACAGAGTGTTAATAGATATACCTAGCCTAGCAGCTAGCCTATCCCGTATACTGTTATATATATTGTTGCGATCGCGTTTTCGCTGTGTGATCCCGGCTGTATTATCCGGGCTGAGTTGTTTTTGCTCAAGGTTCTCTGCGCCGTGCATCATGGCTGCAGTCTATGCGGTTTTGACTGTGGCCCGGTTTGATATGACAAGTGACGTGGACGAGCTTGCAGCAATTCCAGTCTCAGAATGGCTGCGGCTTACAAAGCGCAGAGTTTGACTCTCACCGCCAAAACTGCTGGTTGAGTCAGGCCTTTGTACAGCAGTCGATAGGCCTCGACCCCGAGATGAAACACCGTTGGCGTCGGCGTGAAAGAATTACTCAGCAGTTGCAGTTGGAACGGTTGGTGCAGCAACGGTTGGTACCCATCGCACGTACCTATGTACCTGTTGACCGTGCCCATCGCGCGTACCTACGTACCTGTTGACCGCGCCCCTCGCGCGTACCTCGTACCTCTTGATCGTACCCATCGCACGTACCTATGTACCAAATGTCCGTTCCTTGTACCCGTACCCCCTGGAGCATACTATCAAGGACCCCATTGAGCATTACTCTTAAAAAAACCAAACCTATATGATAAACGGAAATGTCTATATATAGAGGTAAAGAAGGAAGTGAATAACAAGAAAAACATGATCAAAACTTCAGGTTTTCACCTTTGAACTGCGCATTGTCAGGTTCCGTCTGCCGGATTTTTGTCGGGACCCGGCTGCTGGACCAATGACTAACGTTTGACGCCAGCGTGATAACACAACTACGAAACTAACAAGATTGTGGATGACAGGAGGGCGCCCCGACGAAATTCAACTGTCTTTGCCCACCACGTCCTCCTCCGCTACGCATGTCTTCCACATTGACATGAACTCCCACCCCGTATGGGGTGCCTTTTTGCGTATGGTTGACAGGCATCTTCACCATTAAAGACGGGCACCCCCGAGTAACTCCAAAATTTCTCGCAGACCGTCTTTTCCTACCACGTCCTCCTCCACTATACCTGTCTTCCACCTTCCCAACAGCATTCTGTTCCCTCTCCTGACCCCACAGATCACACAGTACACACCTCCCTTTCACCCCCAGTCGAACACTACTTCAATCGCCGCCGGGGATGTGCATCTCCCTCTCATGGAGGAGTTTCCATTTTTCCGTCCCGTTGTCTCGTCTCTCCTATCATCAAGATGAACTCCCACCCCTGGTAGAAGATAGTTTAGATTGCCTCCTGAGCCCCTCATGATGCTAATGATGCACTAATGGCCGTCAATTACATCACCTGCATCACAACACCCCAAATATAACTCCCAAACTCCAGGTAGTTTTCTTCTCTCTCCCCTACCAGGCTGTCCGAAATTCCACGCTGTGCGACCACCCCCCCCACACACCCCATACTCACTTCATTCGCCCATCCCGAGTCCAGCCTAGCCTATCGGCTGGCTTTCGTGATAATATACTATATACATATATATATATATATACTATATACATATATATATATATATACAAATAGTAATGAAATCATGGAGGCTGGTCGGTATGAGACCACTCTGCCAAGAAATGTTTGAAGGCGATTGTTTCTGTCAAGAGCACAGCCCCTTAGGCCAAAGACATTTGCAAAGCAGCGGCCACGCTTGTGCTTTTCACGTCTCCGTCTCCTTGTTGAATCAAAAGCCATCTGCGACTGTCTGGCGGCAGAATTTCCCGCTTAGGCCCCCGAGGGCCTTGGACAGCTTGTAGGTGAGCCAAAGCGAGAGGCTGGCCGCCATATTCGGCGGCGCTTTCAACCTGCGAACGGAGTTTGCCACAGCCTGTGGCTTCGAAGAAAGCAAGTTCATTTTGCAACGCTTCATTGCATAGATCGGTGGTTGATGTTGCTGTTGGCGCTGCCGTGCGCGCGAATTGAACGCCACATCCCCGCCATCCCATGAAAAGAATGGGTCCTTGACTTGACCGTGACCAAACCCCCAATATTACTTGAGTTGAAAGTGGGCAAGGACAAACAAAAGGCTGCGTACATGACAAGCTGCGCGGAAGGTGATCTTTGTCGCGCGCTTCGTCGAACACAAATCAACCGATAGCAAAGGAATGCAACAAAATAGACACCCGGCCCACAAGCAGCGGTGTCAGTGCCGCAAACAAGAACAAAGGAAAGTATGCCGGGCCAAGATATTGGGCTATACATCGGCTAAAACATTTCAAGCCGTACATTGCGACGTTGTTTCTTTTTGTGCCTCTGATGCGGCAATGTTGGGTGTTCTCTTCTAAGAGACACAAATCCAGCGCCGAAGGTCCGATTGATGGCAGCCCACTCTCTCCATATGTTTGATGCCCCACAACAGCCCGATGGAATATGGGAACTGTGGCAGCATCTGCTTGGCGCTCGACCGGGATGTGGGATGGGGCAAGAGCGTTTGCCGCATGTGCCAAAATGAGCTGGGCCGATCTTGGCAGTGGAGGATGGGTGAGGATGGTGCACTCAAAAACGAAGGCTGGCGCAGTGTTGTACTCAGTTACCCATTTCCCCTTCACACAATTGCCCAACCAACTTCAACAACTAGCAAGCAAACATGAAAAGAATTATTCAACAAACCACCTCTGTCACAAGACTGTTGAATTGTTCAAGCCAAGACAAATTCAATCAACCACCCGTCATAGAAAAGTAAAACCTACTAAAACCGAATCCCCTCACTCGGAGCATGGCCTACCAACGTTCCTCATGGTTCTGAACCGGTTTGATCCAACACAGACTGTTGATGCGTGCAAATATCACTCCTTTGGATCAAACCATCGCATGTGATTGGACGGCCATTCAGACTTTGACTTCAGCCCGGGCAAAACGGCAGGGCTTCGATCGGATGGAGCGCCAGTTCTGTTTGAACAATGTGTTTGATTGACTCTTTGTAAGCTTCATCAATGTGTGCTGTTGGGCTCACCAGGTGAATTCCCACTGCTCGGTTCTATAATAAACCAGCAAAATAACGAAGGAGGAGAAGCTTGAAACCAATCGAATAACACCAAAGCGGCAGCTCAGTAGCAAAGCAACAAAAATATCGACAAGGAAGGAGAATCTCAAAACGAATCTGCTCACAAAAGCAAAAGCTGCAGTAGCGAAGAAGCAAAATAACGAGGAGGGAGGAGAAGCTCCTCGATACAGATCCAATTACACCAAAGTGGCGGCTGCAGTAGCAAAGCAGCAAAATAACGAGGAGGGAGGAGAAGCTCCTCGATACAAATCCAATCACACCAAATCGGCAGCTGCCGTAGCAAAGCAGCAATATAACGAGGAGGAAGGAGAAGCTCCTCGATACAAATCCAATTACACCAAAGCGGCGGCTGCAGTAGCAAAGCAGCAAAATAACG